AAAAAAATAAAATCTATTAAAAAATAAAATAAAATAAATTTTTAAACCAGGACCCATTTCTTGTATTTGTTTGATAATGTCTCATCTGCATCTCTACTGACCCCCTGGCCTTTTGATTGTCATTTATGTGCTGAAATAAGTGGACAACCGTTTGTACTTCATGTGCAGGCACTGTGCCAGCCCTGAGTCAGGAGGCATGCTCAAACACTGCTGAGGCCCAGGGGTGGGCATCATGGCCTTCACACACACAGCCTAGGTGCTTTCCTGACAGAGGGGCAGGCACAGAGCAAGGTGGCTGTGTAGGAAAGCTGAGTGAGCTATGATTTTCTTTGTCTTGAAGCCAAGCTTTAAATTATCAGCTGATAGAGTTTTGTTGGTGGAGGGAACCTGGTGATTCGGCAGGGCAGGGCTAAGCGTGTTTGCAGGGAATAGTCCGCTGGGCTTTCGTGCGGGCTGTGTGCAGGCGCCTAAGGAAACAGGGAAATGCAAAGGGTAATATCTTGAACCTGGATAGACTTTTCAGGGGGTCTCTGGACCTGTTGAAAGCACAAAAATGGACTGTGAGACACTGAAGAAAAAAGAAAGTGGGTCACTCCATCATGCCGTCTCTCCTGTTGTGCTGTTGCTCAGGGTGGCTGACTGTGCTCCTCTGATCGCCATGCACAGTGTACAGGAAGATGTCCAGCAAGACCTGGTGGTGTGCAGTGTGGGTGTCAGGCGGGGCTGCATGGCAGCTGCTTGGGTACATCAGAGGGCACAGGGGTGTCATAGTGCTCAGAATATGTGGTTGGCAGCCACAGCGTTGGCCGCTATGTTCCCTGTTATTATCTACTGGTTTCAGCAGCTACTGATTTTTGGTTTAAAACTTATTTTATTAAAGATTTTAAAGTCCTGGGTTTTTCATCATTCTTTATTCTCTGATTAGCTAGAATACTTTGTATTTAAAAAAAAAAACTCTCCCTATTTGCACTGAGGTACAGTTTATTTAATTTTCATGAAGTACAATTTATGCAAAAAAACCATTACTTTCTAATTTTTAGACTACTGAGAACTGGCATAGCAATTTCCAAAGGTAATCAGTAAGATAGTTTAGGATTATCATTTTGAAGAATTTAAACATCAGATAGGGCTGGAGAGATGGCTCAGTGGTCTAAAGCACCTACTTAGAACAAGCTTAGCAAA